TCCTCTGTCTTTTTTTTTTCTGTCTTGTAGCATGTTGGATTGCAATCATTTTGTTTTAATAATAAAGATGTGCCTCCTAACCAGAAAGGGGTTAAATTAAAGTTTATTTTAGGGAACATACTAGAATCCTACAGCCATTAAGTTTATAGTCCAGTTCTCAAGATGCCATTTCTGACCAAACTTCTACCTTTCCAACGAACTGGCCCTTTTACTAAAATCTTGGCTGTTGTTTTTTGTCATTGCTGTTTTGTGAGGCAGGGTCTTATGCAGTGCATCCTGGCCTAGACCTCGCTGTGTAGTAGAGGATGACCTTAAACCTGGGATCCTCCTGCTTCTGCTTCTCCAGTGCTAGGATCACAGGCATGTACTACAAATGCCCAGTTTATGAGATGCTAGGAACAGAACTCAGGCCTTCATGCTAGACAAACACTCTGCCAATTGTGCTACACCCCCAGCCCTACTAACTAAAAAGTTTTGGCTTTTGTTTCTTGTTTTTGCTGTTGTTTTGTGCGGCTTTGTTTATTGAGACAGTATCTCTCTATATAGCTCTGGTGTCCTGGAACTCACAGTGTAGACCAGGCTGACCTTGAACTCAGAGAACTGCCTGTCTCTGCCTCCTTAGTGCTGAGTTTAAAGGTGTGCACCTCCATACCCTGCCTTATTAACTAAATAATTAAAACACACATTTCATATAACATGTTATTCTGTCTAAATGTGTATAGCCTATTATAGCAACCACTCTTAATATTGCTTCTAGTCTTCCAGGCCATGGTTCACAGAGCTTATCCCTGTCCTGCCTCATTTCCCTGAGCCTGACCTGGCATCTGCGAGCTGAGCATCAGGGGTCAGCGGGGGAAGAACAGCCTTGACCTCACATCAATGAGAGGCTGGAACTGGCATGTGTGCAGGGCACATCGCACTCTGAGTCTGCTGGCTGGAGTGATCAGATCCCCACTTTGGCCAGACATCAAAGGATACGTATTGGTCACTAGCACGTGAGCATAGTCACATAGAAACATGTGACTGGAATACCGTGACCTAACCTGTCTAGAGACATGTGAGGAGTAGAAAATGGAAGTTCTGGAGTTCAGAAGCTTAGCATTAACCAGTTCTTAATTTATATAGAAAAAAAAATACTTGTTGGAATGTTTTGTAATGAAATATATGATAAATACATCCCATAGCATATTGCCAAACACACAGATCTGTGCATGGACCGATCCTCATCACAGAAGATGGGAATTAGCAGAGACCCCCAACTGGACAATGAGCAGAGAGACTTTGGATGTCCTTATCAGTCCCTCATCTCGAGGCTCAGGGATCTGTGCAGAAGAGGAGACTAGGAGGTTAGGAGCCAGAGGCGATGGGTAACTTCAGGGAAACAAAGTCTTCCAGACACCACAGGACCAATACACATACAAACTCATAGAGACGAGGCAGCACACACAGGACCTCCACAGGCTTATGCCAGATGGGGTCCCTGCACCAAGAAGGGGAAGTAGATATGGAGGTTCCCCCCTCCAACCAAGAATCTATTTGCAATTGATAATTGCTGAAAAAGGAAAAGTCAGTTTTCTCCAATGGCATGTCACTGGGTATATCGACGACACTGCAGGGCCAGCCCCAGACCTAGGAACAGTCGGGCACCACAAGCAGAACTCCATGTGTTTTGTATTTTTGTGTGTGTGTGTGTGTGTGTATGTGTGTGTGTGTGTGTGTATGTGTGTGTACTTTTGCTTTGTGTTGGCAATTTCTTCTTTTGGTTAATTTTCATTTTTTGTTTGTTTTTAAGGAAAGAGAGAAAAAGAGAGAGAGAGAGAGAGAGAGAAGCTGGGTGGACAGGGAGGTGGGAAGGATCTGGGAGGAATTAGGGGATGGGGAAAACATGATCAAAATACATAATTTTTTAAAAAAATTTAAATAAAGTAAAATGATTACAATATCCCACTACCTCTTATATTTATCTAATACAGTAGAGAGAAAGTTAATTTTAAGTCTACAGTGTAGAGGTGGTTTAGATGGTGTTAGGGTACACACAGGTGTATAAATGCATGTGCTTTCAGGTGAACTGTAAGCTCGTTGGGGTAAAAACTATATCACCCAGTTCTTGACATGCCCTCGCGTACACAGCAGTATTCCAGTGGTCAGCAATTTCTGAGTGCCCTCTTGCTCACTCTGGAATCTCTTGATGTAGTTAGTACAAACGGCACCAGGCTCTTGAGGGACTCTCAGAAGTGGAGCCCGGCTGGTAGAAAAGTTGGGTCTGGGGTGGGCCTGAGCCTGGAGCAGCCAGGCCATGACAGACCTTCCCGGGTTTCCGTGGTTAAGCCGAGTTTCCCCCAGCTGAACAACTTCTCAGTTACTCTGTGTTCCCAGACTGCGGAGTCGTCTGGAAGTTCTGCTAATCATTCACCACGTTTGGCTTCCTTCGGCACGACCGTGGGCAGGTCTGGTTTCGGATGGACACGTCGTCTCTTTGAAGCCTTGAGATCAGGACACTCGTGTTAATAAGCAGTGTGTATCCTCCGATGTTGGGCCAAGGTGGGGATCTAATCACCCAAGATGGGAGCCTCAGAGAGCGACGTGCCCTGCACACATGTCAGTTCGAGCTTCTCATTGCTGTGAGGCCAGGGCTGCACTTCGTCCTCTCTGACCACTGATGCTCAGCTCACAGCTGCCAGGCATAGTCGGACAAATGAGGGCAGGACGGGACCTGCTCTGACGCTCCCACCTCGCCACAGCCCTAGCAGATGAGAAGCAACATTCAGGGCTGGGCATGTAACTCAGTTAGGAAAATGCTTCCCTGACATTCATGAAGCCCATGGTTTGCTCTCCACATAAACCCGGCATGGTGGTGCATGCCTGCAGTCCCAATATACAGGAGGGAGTCAGAGTGATCAGAAGTTCAAAGACATTCTTCATCTTGTTTGGAGTTTGAGGCAAGCCTGGGCTACATGGGACTCTGTCCCCACAGGCCCATGATATGTAGAACAATGAGTCCTATGCTTCATCCAGGATGAATCCAAGAGCTGGAGAGCCCTCAGAGTCACCCCCCCCCCCCCCGTTAATGTCACCATAGATTTTCCCCTTTGAATGGCCTCCTGCTGAGGATTCAACTCTTCCAGGCTTGATATTTTACTAATTCACCAAAAGGGAGAAATCAGGGCTCACCCATAGCTTCTTACTTCCCCTTTACCTCCTCCCATCCACCTCCTCCTCTTCCATCTCAGCCCTTGGAAGGCAGAGACAGGCAGATCTCTGTGAGTTCAAGGCTACCCTGGTCTACATATTGAGTTCCAGGCTAGCCAGAGCTACACGGTAGGACCCTGTCAGACATGAGCTAGTGGCAGAATCCAAATTCTAACTTCAGACAAGTATATAAATGTATTTTCCTCTTGCTTGTGCTCTTAAGTCCGAATCGCCACCTCGGTGGTGACAATGGTCACAACTAGGTTGTCAGATTGCTGGTGATTTTTAGTTTATTTTTTGAAAAGAAAGCAAGAAAAGTGTTTTGAAAAGAAACAATTCCCTGTAACCAGGAGGGGGGCTGATGAAAAAAAGGTTGCCTATGGGCGATTTACAATGTTCTTTTTGCGTATACAGTTGCCCGGATTTTCCTACAGCGATTGCACACTACGCAATTTTAAATTCAAATAAGCAAGAGAGGTTCATTTAGAAGGCAGAACGAAGCTTCATTTTCCCAGTTTGTCTTCACACTCATTCCCCAGCCTACCAAATTTCTCAGCAGCCAGAAGCAAACTGAATTACTGCCATCTTTAAGGGCAGAGGGAGATGGTTCAGTTTTCTGGTGTTAAGCCGCCCCGAGAAAGAACAGATTACAGAGGTCCTGGCCTGGAATGGCTTGTTTTAGGAGTTTTGCCAACACTGGGAAGACTCACGGCTCTAGTCAGCTTGAAATCACAAGGCCAAACAATGGTACCTAGAGTGATGTTCTGTGGGGCGTGTGTGTGTGTGTGTGTGTGTGTGTGTGTGCGCGCGCGTGCACGTGGTGTTCATGTAGATGTGCATGTGGCTAAAGTGCATGTGGCAGCCATATTGGGTGTTGCTCCTCAGTCACCACCATCCATCTTGTTTGTTGAGGCAGGCTCTCTTATTGACCTGAAGTTCACCGAGTAGGATAGGCTGACTGGCCAGTGAGTCCCAGGAATCTGCCTGTTCCCACTTCCACAGTATAGGGATTGCATGCCCGTGCCACCATAACTGGGCTTTTCATGGGTTCTGGCGACAGCAATAAATCCAAAACCATTCGTGCGCTGCGCACATACGTTCTACTCCCTGAACCTTGTTCTTCACGGTCCCCTCTGCGCATGCTCACTGGCTGCTAACCAGCATCGGAGAGAAATAGAGCCGGTGAACTATTTCCTGATACACTGTAAATGACTCTTGTGAAACTCTCCCTGTCGTCGACCTTTGCTTGAAGACATGTAGGGAAAGGAATTCTGGGAAACATCATTCAAACTTAGTTTTGCTGGCACACGTACACCACCACCGTCCTTTAAAAATCTCAAAATGCACCTCTGCAGGCCACAAAGACGGCGATGGGTTGGTGGAAGTCAGGGAGAGGTGGAGGAAGGTGGAAGGAGAGAAGCAGCAGAAACTTCTCTGTGGTCTTTAAGATGCGTTTCCTACAGAAGACTAGAAAAGTCAGGTGGATGCTCTTATATGGTCTCCCATCTAAATGTTAAAACGTCTGTGCCCAGAACAAAGGCCTTTGTAAATAGACTGAAGTCAGATCTGAGAATTATTCCAAAGATGACTGGGTGCACAAGCTTTCTCTGAGCACTATCGCAACCCACCCCACCATTTCCCTCCCTGCCTTTCCACTTGACTACCAGGCTGGATGAGAGGAAGGGAACCGGAGCCAGGGCAGAGTATGAGCCAAAGCCCCTCGGAAGCTATGGCGAAGAAGCCCTGAAAGCCCACTCAGTCCCCGGTGCGCCAGAGTGGAACGGTCTAATGAGACCGTTTTTCCACCAAATGTGTAGGCTTGTCTCAAGAAATGTTTCCTCTCTGTGGGGAGCAGTGGGTGACGTGAAATGATAAAACGAAGCGAGACAGTTCTTCCCAAAGCCTAGATCCCGAAGGGCCTCTACCTGAGTTTTGCATTTTGTAAGATTAGAAGCTCAATGGGAGACTTTACCGGTCATGTATGTCCCGGCTTGTTCCTGGTCTTATATGGACTGTATCAAGCCATAGTCGTCTCCAGGGCTGTGATATTCAATGATTCTCTTTTGCATCCTTCCCACAATCCTAAGAATAAGGGAAGATGGGCCAGGTTGTGGCAACTAGCCCATACAGGCTGGTTGAAGACAGTGACTGGCTCCCTCTTGATAGTTTATGAGCTCAACTGTATTGAAGGAGGGCTGAAACTTATGAGCAAAGGGATGCCACCAAGGTTTATGTACCCCAAGGAGTGGCAGCACCTCACCATGTTCACCCTCCTCACCCTTGACGGTTGTGTAGAAACTGTGAGCAAGAGCGTGCTGCGGCAGAGGTGGGTGGCCCTAGAAAGAGGTTCCACGGTCCTGGTCATCTACGTGCTGCTGTTGCTGCTGGTGTCTCACGTTAAGGACTCATTCGGGGTGGAGCTACAGGTTCACTCTCTCCTCGTCTTGGTGGTGTTCCTGCTGATGCTGGTGTTGACGGCAGAGCTGTGGGCTCCTGAGATGTTTCACCTCTGGATGATAGAGACCTTCCTGTTCCTGGTGATGGGCTCGTGGCTGATTCAGGCAGGCTTCATTCTGTTTAGACCGGTCTCCGGCTTCCCATGGGAGGATGATGACATCAGTGACATCATGTTCGTCACCACCTTCTTCTGTTGGCATGTGATGATCAATGCCCTATGCCTGTTGGGAATCTATGGCATCTCTTCCTTTTGGCATCATTGTTACAGCCCCAGCTTGAGGCTGATGGGGTCCAAGGAAGTGCTGTACCACGAGAGCTCTTCGGGAACATTTTACAGGCTCCTGCAGGATGCAGAGCAGCAGGACACACATGACCAAGCTCTTGTCCCTTCAAAGAGCTCTCCCACTGACAGGGCCTAGAATACCTGAGCATATAGGTCACTCCATCTTCCTTCTTTGGGCTCTCTTGGGCACTTTTTTCCTTGGTGAAGGTAATGACCCTATGGCACAGCAGAGATGCTGATGGGACTTGCAGAGAGGGAGGGAGGAAGCCAAGCCGAGGGAAGAGAATGCAACAGAATGGCTTAAGGGGGCAGGGGGGAGTCTCCACCACAGCCCAGAATTCTATGGTCAGAGCCGTTTCTCTGGGCACCACTGATTGATTCACCCGAGGGAATAAAGATTCCGCACAGCTCAAACTGCCACCAGCTGTCTCATTCTGTAAAGGGGATTGACTCTTTTGATTATTTTATTTTTCAGACAGGATCTCATGACATTACCCTGGCTGGCCTGGAACTCAATATATATGTAGACGAGGCTAGCCTCAAACTCAGAGGACTGTCTGCCTCTGCTTCCCGAGTGCTGGGATTAAAAGTGGGTATGACGCAGATTGAGATCATATTCTTCTGGGCTGGTATTGGAGCTCTGTTGACAGAACGCTTGCCTAGCGTGCGCATAGCCCTAGGTTCAAACCCCAGGACCACAAAATCCAGGCATAGTGGGGGCATACTTGCAATCCTGGTCCTTTAGGTGGAGGCAGGAGGATCAAAAGTTCAAGATCATACTTGGTTACATATTGAACTTTAGACCAGCCGGAGTAATTCCTATTTCAGAAATAAATTAATAAATCTCATCTTTAAAAAAATTCTTGATCTTTAATGATTGGTTTCATTTTGGATATTTTTGGGTTTTGTTTCTTTGTTTCTCGAGATAGGGTTTCTCCGTAGCTTTGGAACCTGTCCTGGAACTTGTAGACCAGGCTGGCCTCGAACTCACAGAGATCCGCCTGCCTCTGCCTCCCGTGTGCTGGGATTAAAGGCATGCTCCACCACCACCTGGCTGATTGGCTTCATTTTAAATGTTACAGTCAATTTTAAAAAGAAATTTAATAATAGCATAAATTTGCATAATCCGAGTTTTCTGGAGTGTCCATGCTTGGTCCTTTCCCAACTCCGTGTTTTGGCGTGCCTACTTCTCCAAAGCTTTCTTTACTCCTTACATGTGGAATTTATTACACGTAATCCTTGGGTTTTGCAACTTTTCCCCCTTGCAGCTCACATTCCACAGCCATAATTTTGCCTCTCACTAGATTCGCAGACTGTAACCCCTTCCGCCAACGAGGCCCTGAGCACCCACAAGGCGCTTTTTCCTGAGAGCTCAGATGGACTTCTTTGTTGGAGCACTGAGGCACTTACAGAAAATCTGCCTTAATTTTCCAAAAACAGCTGGCACATCTGGCTTTGTCCTGGTTTTGAAGTCTTTTCCCTTGGGCAGTTTTTGCTCACCAACTAATATGTAGGTTTCGGAAGAATAAGGACTTTGTGGTATCCAAGTTACACAATTCCTCCTGTGTATTCCAACTGTGTGACGGGTAATGGTTACCAAAGGCTCATCTGGTCCCGCTGCCCACCCCCACCACTTCTTCCTTCTAAACACGTTGCTCAACAGGTAAGAGGCTCTGCCAGCTTCTGGGCAATTCCAACCACCCTAAAGTCTGAGGTCATCTTCTTTCTCATGCCCTGCTCTCTTTTTTCTCGGGGAGAGTAGAAACCCCAAATTCACTCCCAAATTGTTGAGTCTTCTGATGTTAGTGGTGGTGCGTTGGTTGTGTTCAGTCCTAAGTCCCAGCCCTCGTAATCATCACTGTGGTTATATGTGCTTCTGTATGGAGAATCTAGAACACTGGCTCATGAGGGTTCACTTGCTGGAGACAAGAGAAAAGCCAGCAATTTCAGTCCTGTGTCAGACTTAAGTCTGTGACAGGGTCAGCCCAGGCTACAGAGACCTCTCTCATGGACAAGGAAGTGATCCCCGGGATTAGACAAAGCCTGAAGGGGGTGGTGGAGAGGTAGGACCAACGAGAGTTCTGGTAGAGGAAATGGCACAGTGTAAACACCCCAGAGACCCTTAAAGACCTAGCTTATGCTAGACTTTCTGCCCAACTCTGATTGCCCTGAGAACAGAGCCTGGCATACTCTCAACTGTTGACTTGGTTTAAGTTTCTAGGCTCCGAGTGAGGGCTGAGGGTGAGATGCGTTCATGATCAAGTCTTCGAATCCATTTCCCATCTATTCTTGGTCCCTAGACTTTTCTCAGTTGCTTTTGCGGAGGCTTTTTCACATCCCCTTCCTCTCAGGCTGATGTGGGGTGAGGCGCACGTAGAGTTGGCTGCCCGTTTCTGGGTATCTGAAGAAATTTCATGATAAACCTCTGGTCATGAGACACAGTATCTCTCAAGCAGTCAGTGTAGGGAAAGCAAAGCATAGTGCATTGTTAATTTATTTTATATACTATGTAACAGAAGCAAGTTAAGAAAGACCTTCACATTTAAGCCTTCTGGGGGAGAAGCTTGAAATTACCACAAAACTCCACCAGAGGGCGCTAGGTCACCATCACCCTGACCAACCACCTAGTTCTACAGCTCCAGAAAACAAGCCTCATAAGAATCAGATTAAAAAGAAATTAGGGGGAAGAAAAGAGGATAGAAAAAGTCCAGAAGCAGGCAAAATGTTGCCCAAGAATCCAAAACACATGCCATAGGGCTATGTGTTTTCTGTTAAAATTTGACAAACATGAAATAAACTGGGATCTAAAACAGCCAGGGATAAGGGATAAAAGGCTGTGTATGTAGATCTGGCTGAGGAGTCCTGCAAGAAAACGGAAAGACACATTTTGATCCAAGCAATGTTTCCACCACAGAACAACTTTTTCTCAACTTTCAAGTAAGCTTCAATAGATCCCAAGCTAATAGAGAAGAATGATAGAGCTGTGTATACCGGGGGGGGAGGGGAAGATATGTGTGGCCAGGGAGACGAATAAAAGCATTCATTGTGCAAACACGACAGAACCTATGGTGGACGGAGAAAACAGAGTCTCGAAAGGTTCCCCATCTTCCACACATGCACAAGTGTACGCCCCCTCATCACACACACACACACACACAGAGAGAGAGAGAGAGAGAGAGAGAGAGGGAGGGAGGGAGAGGGAGGAAATCATTAATTAGTGACATTAATTAGATTTAATAAGTGACAGATTGTTGTAAATGAAAACTTGCTCAAAATCCATTCTTTCTCTAAGCTGGGTGGTAGTGGCATAGACCTTTAAACCCAGCACTTGGGAGGCAGAGGCAGCGGGCAGCAGGCAGATCTCTGAGTTCCGGCCAGGCAGGGCTACACAGAAATCCTGTCTCAAATAAACAAACAAACAGGATTGGAGAGATGGCTCAGAGGTTAAGAACACTGACAGCTCTTCCAGAGAACTGGGTTCAATTCCCAGCACCTGCAAGACAGCTCTCAACTGTCTGTAACTATAATTCCTGGGGACCTGACACCCATACACACAGGGGAAACAGCAACGCACATAAGAATAAAAATAACTAACAATAAACAACAACAACAACAACGATGGGCCGGGAACACAGCTCAACAATAGAGCACTTGTCTAGCGTGCCCAAGGCCCTGGATTCACTTCAGACTGAAAAAAAAATCCAATAAACAAAATAAAACAACAACAAAAAAGCCAACCAAGCAGGTCAGCAGGACATGAAGGTACAATTCTAGAAATGTATTTATGGTTTTCCTAGCCTCGATAGGACTTGCTTTCCCCCACTGTCAGACAGATGAACTTGGTTCTTCCTAGCAGAGGTAAGATTTGAGGTGGAGCCCAAGCAGATGCAAACCTTCTACTCTAATGCGCAGGTTGAGAAACGGGACACTTCTTCCATCTCTGTGAATGTCTTCACTGAGCATCTGGCAAAACTCCAATCAGGCGAAAGACAATTGATACTCCAAATCTGAATTTCTCCTCTGAAACTAACGAGTATCGAGGAACTAAGCTAGGTAAGGCCAGCTCTTTCTCCTGCTCAGTCTTAGGTGGCTGAGTTCAAGTGTAATCTGCTCTTTCCTGCTTTCATTGTATAGAGTGGAATTTGAAAGGCGGACTAAATACAACTTTCCAGAAAAACTCACTTTCCAGGGTCCAGGAATGCTATCCGCCTCCAGTGTTCTTCCTTTACTTTTTTTTCTGGGCTTGGCTTGACATCTGTTAGGCTCTTTTTGGGGGGCGGGAGGTCAGAACTAATTTGGGTTTCTAAAAAACAAAACAGGTTACGTTCTGGGCTTAGTTTTCAGGGTGACTGCAACTCTGAGTCCCCACTGTATTTCTTCAGCTTGGCTTAAAGTTTTCACGACTTGCCCACCTGCAGCAAACTCCACTTCCCAACTGCATGCGCGTGTTATAGTTGAGGGTTTGGGCTCCCTGGAGCCATATCCTAAATTTGGCATCGTGACTGCAAGGCACTCAGGCAGGCTGGACCCATGCACCTAGAACAAGAGCTTCAGACAGTGCAGAGGAAGAAGCTATAAGAACTCATCAGAAAGGCCTGTCCAAGGCAAAGCCATCAGTGTAGGCAGACAAACACCACTGATGAGATGGGTTTAGTTCTGAGTTATTTCTGCAAATTCGGTCAAAAGTCTCCCTGCAACATTGCTCTCCCACTCCACCCACCCCAGGGACAGAGGAACTCCGCTCAGCAAGCACCTCAACTTCAAAGCACTTGCCATCAGACACCCCACCCCTCCCCGTTAGCTTCGATACTGCGATACTGTGTGGGCCTAGACGGAAAAGTTCATGGGTTCAACCATCTTACTGCTTTCAAGGAGGGGGCAGAAAATGTGGGGAGGTGGCAAATTAGGGAGGAACAAAGGACAGAGACACAGCAAAGTCAACGGAGCTGAAACAGGCTGTTCTTTCAACTTCTCTAAAAGCACAGGTCGCTTTTCTGAGGGCAAACTGATTGAGGGACTCGGTTCTGCTTTTTCTCCCACGGTACACACTCAAAGTTCCTCAGGCTGGGCCTTGAACTTGTCTGGGTTCTACTTTAGTTAGTTCAAACATATGTGGGGCTGCCCAAGGGGGCAAAGCCTCTTGTTTACCCCCTGAAAGTGGGTAGTCATGTGAGATGGCTCTGGTCACATGAAAGATCAAAGCAAATCCACTTCTATTCTTGGA